CAAGTTTCCACGATGGGCTTTAACATATGGTCTGCGTCCTCTCCAGAGACAAACATGAGCACACTGTTCTGCGTTCCACAGCACCCAGGCCTCATGCTCTCGCTCAAAGATCAAAACTTAGATTGAATTATTAACAGTGAACACTGCCGCAAATACATCAGCTGTGCAGTAGGCTCCTGGGCTGAGTATTCACCTTTACTGAAGTTCTCCTCGCACAGATCAAGGAACCTGGATAATCCCTCATCCCACAGCCCTGCTGGAACCCTTGCTTGGAATCACTTCTGCTCTCCCCTTACAGCTCCTTCTAGCCGCCTGGAGAGAGGGGCAATACAATTGAAGACAACAATTAGCACATATCTCCTGGTATGGTGGTGCACATCTACAATCCCAGCACTCAGGAGGCTAAGGCAGAAGGACCACCACGAGTTTGGGGGCAACCTGGGATACAGTGAGTCCAAGGACAGCCTGAACTGCCTATGAAACCCTGTCTCAAAAAAAAAAAAAAAATTAGCATATGTAACTGGCAAATACAATCAGCTTGGAGCAAGATGACAAGATCCTCCTCCGGGCTCCAAATTCAAAGTCAACCCCCACTCCAGACCCCTACTGCTAGAGCACACGTGGGGCCAAATTTCTTCTGACTAAAAACACAGGTGACAGGGAAAGTAATTGGAGTCCTCTTTCACACCACTCAGTATTACACAGAGGACAGCCACGTTGCCCCACTGACAGGCCTCCGGGCCAAGTTCCAGAGCAGGAGGTGGCGCTTCAGTGCAGTTCTCCAAAGCTGCTGAGCTGATGGGCAGCAGCAAAGGCTTCTGAAAGGAAAGGGATACTCCATGGGGTTGGAGGAACCAACTGCTCAAGTCCAGCCCCCAGTCTCATAATGGAAAGGGGAGCGAGGGCACCCAGAGCACTGCCCTCAGGAACCAGAGGTCAAGGTCAGAAGAGCTTCAAGGCTTCTAATCAAAAAGGCAAATAGCCCTAGGAAGCCAGGTACCAGCCAAGAACAAAGAGGACAAAGCTACAAGGATCTCCAAGTTAGACAAAGGCTTCCCCAGCCAGCTCTCTTACCTGAGCCAGCCTGCTGGCCAGAGAGACAGATATGCACAGGCATGCAGGCACACACATGCGCATACACATATGTGTACGCACACACGCATGCATGCCTGCACCCCCAGGGAGCCCCAGCGATCAATTCTTGATCCACATCCCCACCCCCACTCATGCTTTGCTGCTTGCCACAGAGACTCACATGTGCTTACAGTCACAGAACATCACCCACACAGTGCCTTGTGCCATTCTGATTGCTGGAACAACTGGTGACAGTTGTGGGTTCAAACGGGCACAAAGGAAGCAATGCAGGAAATCACTGAACTTCCCCCAAAGGAGTAGGGGGGTAAGGAGTGGGATAGGGATGAGACACACTGCAATGGGGGGGTCACAATCCGCATTAAGCAGGTTCGATGTGGCTGCATAATAATACTCCACAATTGAAGAGGACTCTACTTTTCAAAGAGCTCTTCCATCTTCACCTTCTCAGGTAGCACTGGGTGGTGGAAGTGGCCGCCTCTTGGAGCTCAAATGACCACCCTACCCCCACGGAGCCCAAAGACACTGTCTCTGAAATAGTCTTTGACAGCCTCGCATGGGTAATAGTTGTGGGAGCGTGACTGTTTGTGTGTGAGTGCACAGAGGCTTTATGTAGCAGAATGGGATACAGTCAAACAAAAATGAGGTTGCCATGGCAACAGGCTCCAGCATCATTGCAGCCTATTAACACAAGTGAGGAATGTGTTTGGCAGATGCTCGAGTGTTATTTATGGTATGGGTGTAGCAGAGGGACTTCTAACAGGCAAAAGAGGAGGAAAAAACAGCCCTGTGACGCTCCTACTGTACCCTAGTGAGCACTTCAGGAGACAACAGCAAGACAAGCAAACGGAAGGGGCTGAGAGGCCACAACAGGGAGTAAGAGAGGGGAAGGCAGAGAACACAGGAAGGCTCAGGATAGGAGAGGTGGGCAGAGAGCAACAGGGGGCTGGAGGAGGAGGGCCAAGAAAGGAAAGAAGAGAGGAAAGGCACAGGCAAGGAGAAGAAAAAGGCAGAGGAGGAGGGCAACAGATCCAGAGGAAGACAAGAGCTGGCTGGAGGTACACAAAAGAAGGAATATTGTCCCACAGGAAGGCTACTGCACCTTACTCTTATTTGCCTACTAAGTAAAAGGCAACCAGTTGAGACAGCAAACGCTTCTTTTCCTAATTGGAGTCAAGGACAGAGCCCAAGCATAAAAGAAACTAGAGAAAAATAAAATGCACAGGTTCAACAATGATAGAGAACCTGGGCCTTGGGCAGAAGGGGCTACTCTTGCCAGAGGAGACGTGAAGAAACACCCATACCGTTTACTCAGGGCCTACCACGTGCCAAGGCACTGCAGCTTCAAATCCTCAACACTAGAAACCACTCACTACCACCCTCTTCCCTGGACAGATGTCTTCACTTGGAAAAAAAAAAAAGGCATCTAACCTAAGCCACCTCAAATACCTGCTACTCTGGCATAATCTGAGAACGAAGTTAAGGCTAGGCTATATCATTCATATTCTAGGACTACCCAGCACACTTTATTCAAAAAAGACAAATTTTGGGCTGGGGATTTAGCTCAGTGGTTCCACCACCTGCCTCGCAAGTACAAGGATCTGAGTTCAATCCCCAGTACCAAAAAAAAAAAAAAAGACAAATATTGTGTCAAGCATAATCAGGAAGTTAAATCAAGTACAAGCAAAAAAAGATATAGCTTTCTCTGAAGCCAAATAGAAAGAATGTTTACATTCTCTTGTCTTGGACCATTCATAACCATCTCTGCTGTGCTCACAGCAGATCATAGAAAGTGAAGTATAAATCCACCCCAAATCCTAAAGCCAAGTTAAAGTGTAAAGACCACAATGGGTAAAAGAAGCACAAGGTAGGAGCTTGGTGGAGTGGGAAAGGGAGAGGGCTTTGCCCAGAGAACCAGAGGGGGAAGCCAGACAGACACTACTGCAATGACATTTTGCAATGACATTAAAGTGGAATTGCAACACCCCAAGTTCAAAACCCCTTTTCTGGGATCTAACACCAATCTCATGACATCAGAGGTCCAGGGTTGCTAAAGACTGTAATCAGACCCTGTGTCCCAAGTTTGGTTCAGAAAATACCCTAAACTATCCTGGAAATCTCCGCTCTTCCTTATGGATGACATGCCCTTCCCACTGCAGAAAAGCTGCACCCACCCAAGGCAGGAACACTCCCCACAGATTCAACACCCAGGTAAGAGCATGGACTCTCAGGCCGAAAGAGTTGGAGCCTTCAGAAGCATCAACAATAGTAGTAACTTTTTTAAACCACCATCTCTCAAAAGATTCTTCTAAATTCAAATCTAAAAGTTATTTTAAATCATCTTTTGATCCTAGTTCAGAAAAACCTTAACATCATAACACTACCTACTCCACTTATTGGACCCTAACCAAGCTGGCAAGTAATTATTAAATCACTGTGAAGTATTCTGCACTATGTGAGGCAAGGGAGAGAGAAAACACTGGTACCTGAGGATTACTGCAGCCAACAAGGTTCCACTCATTGCACAGGAAGCTGAACCAATGGACACTGGAGAGTGAGTGCTCCAGTCTATGTTTCTGTTAATCATGCAGAAGAGGAGGAAGAGTCCCATTTGGCTGGAAAGAGAATTATCCGTAGGGGTGCGGCTTGGTACAGAGGATGTTGGAGTGGAAGGGGTATAATCCATCCTCTCATTCTGTAAAGAACCTGGAACCCAGACAGTTTCCATGAATGCTGCAAGTTCAGCAAGAGCCTAGCACCCTGAAGTCCACATCAGTGCTAGTCTCTATAAAGGAGTACGTGTTGTGGATGCAAAGGGACACCGGAGCACTCCAACAAGATCAAAGTCCAGAGAAGTAGCAGAAGGGAAAAGAAGGAAGGCATGACACTGACATGCTACAGGTTGTATGAGAGGAGGCAGGCTCTAAGAGGGCCGGGGTCCTCAGTCAAGACACTCACGACAACAAAACCAAAGTGCCTCTCTCCAGCAAAGCAGCAAGAAAACAAGCCAGTTCAGCGTGGGTCATGTGTTGGGACAAACAACAGGACACTAAAGGGAGAAAGTGTGGATGTCAGAGAGTGCCTCACCGTAAAGTCTGGATGGCAAGCATTTCCCCTCCCAGAGGCATGGGAATCACCATTAACTAGGCAGAAGTTTCATTTCCTCTTTAGCCCACAATTCTGGGTTTGCCCAACAAATCCCAGCAGGTATAAAATGCCCCCACCACCAGCCATAACCAGGAGCACCCATTGGAAGGGACACAATGTTCCCAACACCAAGCTCTCTGCCCAGGCCAGGCAGGGGTCCCCCTCCACACAGCCCTAAAGTTCCTTCCCACCTTTGCTGCCTACAGCTTGTTGGCCTGGGGCACACTGGTAAACGAAACAAAACTTGTTACTCCTTCTTCGGGGACATCTCCACTTCCCAAAACACCTGCTGGAGACAGGCATCAGTGTTAACCCATCTCCTCCTCAAGACTGGGCATTTATGGCAAGTGGTGCCCACCATCTCCAAGCCTTTATCTAAGACTCTATTAACAAGTCAGTCCTGACGCTCAAAACCATATGGCTTCTAGAGGGCCTGGACACTTTTGTTGGAGGCCTTTGTATTTGGGGACAGAAGCTCTGGAAAAATGGAAACTTCTACATGTAATTTTCTTCAACACCCCTTCCTCACTAGACTCCCACCAACGATGGCTAGTTTGGAGTGTGTGGTCTACCAGGCAGGCAACATTACAAATAAGACAACTGCTCTCTTCTAAATGACAAGGCTGGGACAATGCGGGTCAAGAGCCTGTCTGGCCGACTCTTCCGCCGCTTGAGAGGGAGAAGGTGGGATCCCTTCCTCTGGAATCAGGCAAGACCTGCCCGCCCCACAATTCAGGCCCTGAGGCCAAGTAGGCCCCTACCTGCTTGAGCAGGAACTGGTCCTGAGCATTGGTGCGCAGGGCGATGGCCAGGTGCAGCGCAGACAGGAGCACCCCGCTGAGTACCGCGGCCCGCATGCGCACGGGAAGCAGCGTGTAGATGGTGTAAATGAAGAAAACGGTCCACCAGATGCCCTCGGAGGCGCTGCGCGGCTGCGGCATCAGCAGGCCCACGACCTGGACGGCCAGCACCACAGCGATGAGCGCGTAGCAGGCCGCAGGGCGATGGCCAGGTGCAGCGCAGACAGGAGCACCCCGCTGAGTACCGCGGCCCGCATGCGCACGGGAAGCAGCGTGTAGATGGTGTAAATGAAGAAAACGGTCCACCAGATGCCCTCGGAGGCGCTGCGCGGCTGCGGCATCAGCAGGCCCACGACCTGGACGGCCAGCACCACAGCGATGAGCGCGTAGCAGGCGCGCCCCATGTGGTCCTGGTGGAAGGCGGCGCGGTTGCAGAGCACGGCCATGACAAGGATCACACCCACGGCAGCGGCCAGCACGCCCAGGTAAGGCAGCTGGAGCGGGGGCCGCGCCGCGTGGAAGGCCAGCATGACGAGACACACGAGCACCAGCACGGCCATCAGCATGGTGAGGCTGCTCTGGTTCAAGCGGAAGAAGTAGCGCTGGTACAGCCGCTCCAGCTTGTCCGACGGGAACTTCTTGGAGCGGAATATCTGCAGCAAGGCCAGGCAGCAGGCGCCCAGCGACAGCACCGCACCGACAGCATGACGACACACGAGCACCAGCACGGCCATCAGCATGGTGAGGCTGCTCTGGTTCAAGCGGAAGAAGTAGCGCTGGTACAGCCGCTCCAGCTTGTCCGACGGGAACTTCTTGGAGCGGAATATCTGCAGCAAGGCCCCGCGCCGC